GACAGGTGTCATACATACTCATACAACTATATATATATAGGATATATGGTACACCCCAAACCCACACATAATCATTTCCTCATTGGCTTGTCTTCCTGCTTTCTCAAATCAGAAGGCCGAGACTCAACCATTTAGTGACAAAAATTAATTACTATATGTTAGCCAAAGCCAAATCAAACACCCCTCGGTGGCAGTGTAGTAGTAGAAAAGAGCAATAGAGGCATATATGGAAGGAAGCACTTTTTTTTTTTTTTTTTAATTGAGGAAACTTGGGGTGTGAGAGAATGAGTGTCTGGATTTGAACTCAAGATTTTGATATCTTCTCTTAGAGAATAACCATTAAACCAATCAATGATAAATAAGATAAAACTTAATTAGAACTAACAAGATATTTTAACTTTATTTATCTTCTTTTAATTTTCAATTCACGAAGACTCCCTCCTACCCTCTTTTAAAAAGCAATAGAGCAATAAAAATTGATTTTTATTTTAATATCATTATCATATAGATAATTTTAATTTATTAATTGATTAAAGCAAAATCAACATTTATATTTTTTATATGAATTAATTAAAAATACAATAAATATACTCTTTAAAAAAATTAAATTTTAAAATGAATGATTGAAAATTGACATAACACTCACATTAGTATTAGTCATGGGAATAACAAGGCTAATTTTTTTTTTTTTAAAAAAAAAAATTGATATAAACATCCAAAACTACTTGATATTCACGCCTACTGGACAGAAAGAAAGTTGCCTTATTCCTTCTTAATTGTTTAGTTAGAAAAAGTAAAGTTCTTCAAACTACGAAGTATTAGTTTACATAAATAATTTTTTATTTCTAATACACTTATATATTGATGAGCTATTGCCCCTTTTTTTTTTCCCGAAGAAAAGAGAATAAGACTGAAACCTCAATTTTAAGAGTAGAAACAAAATGGGTTTCTCCCGTGCATTGTTTTTAGAGTTAAGAGCAGTGATGACGAGTTTTCCTTCTAAAGGTTTCTCTCCAACATAAGAGTTCCTTCATCCCTCCTTTTTTTTTACCCATCCCTCCTTTTTTTTACCCCTCCCTTCCTCCTCTTCATCTCCTCCTTCCTCTTGTCAGTCTTGCTTTGAAAACTCCAACCCAAGGGACCACAAGACAACGGTTTTTTGGGTTTTCTAGAGTTTACATCTGTTGATTTTTTAAGGCTGTGATTAGAATTGATTTTGTCGGTGAAGTTGGTTTCTCCTATTTAACAGGCAAGAATCTCACTTTGGTGCATTTTCTTGGATGGGATCTTGGTGGGGGTAGAATTCGGTGAATTTGATTCACACCAGTTCCTAATCAGCTAGTCGATTGTCGAAAGAAAGGGATGTTGTTGGTAAGGTCGGCTATGGTCTGCATGGAAAGCCTAATTTTCAAGCCGGTAAAAGGGCTCTAGTTCCTTTAATGAGTTTTGACAGTATGGGTTTAAGAGGATTGACAAAGATGGGAACATGATTGGGAGTATATGGAGGCGATTGGGGGGCTTTGTGCTTGTTAGAAAAGGCCCATACCCCTCTTGGTTGTTTTTCTTTAAGAACATGTAGTGTGGCAACTTATGGGTTGGGGACTGTTTGTTGTAGAAATCCCTTGCTCTTCCTAAGAAACTGGTTAAATAGGTGAGGATGTCCAGTAATTCGTAGTGCTCATAGTGACTTCCCTTTCTACATTAGTAGCCCTATTTAACCCATACAATGATTGTAAATTCAATCCCTAGTTGCAGATGGCTCTCTTTGCTTAATTATTTATATCCGTCATGGGGATAGTTTAAGTTTATTACTAGTGCTGTAGGTTATGCTTTTGATTCTGTCATTAGGTAATTTTGATTTTGTTATATGTCATGAGATGAAGATTTTGTTGTAATTTCTTATTACTTAATATATTTCTCTATTTCCCATCGAAAAAAAAAAAGTAGAAACAAAATGTATATATTTTTTTATATTAATCTCTCCATAGCTGATAATCACATTAGATATTAAGTAATCTGAAATCGAATTGCATCACATTCCTGAAAGGAGCATTAATTTTAAGAATTGAAACAAAATGCACTTTATTAAACTAAATGATAAAGTGTCGAACGCTGATACGTACACCCATCTGACAACACACTCGGTTACACCTAACTTTCATTTCCGTTATCTCCGTTAATATACTTAACTCCGTTCCATCTTCTTCTTTCTCTTTCTTGCTTCTTTTTTTTTTTTTTCTTTTCTCTCTCTCTTTACGTTTCTATTGC